GTTCTATAACGACAGTTGTACAATGAACGTAAAGTGAAAGAAGACGTGTTGTCACCAATATTCCAGACACGTGACGATCCAGGGAGAGAAGAGGTCTTCAGCAGTCCCGTTCGCTCGTCACGCCGAAGACCCGGGTTCGATTCCCGACATGGGTACAAAATGTGAAGCCCATTTCTGGTGTCCCCCGCCGTGATATTGCTGGAATATTGCTAAAAGCGGCGTAAAACCATACTCACTCACTCACTCTTCAGCAACCCATGCTTGCCGTAAGAAGGAGCGGGTGGTCGGTAGCGGGTCAAAACGGCCCCATGTCAGAACGGCCTCAAAAGGTAAGGTCAAAACGGCCACAGCAAAAAGTCGTGGAACTTGTTGTCATCCTGCCTGGCGCTCGGGTTTAAAACAAAGACTGGTCGGCCCGGAGTCAGTATACTGTGTCTGGGTGGGGTATTCATGTTAAACTGAATGGTATCTCAGTGTGCTAGCACTACAAATCGGCATCAGTCACACACACGTGTGGACGCTGGTCATATATACTCACCGCCAAAAGAAACGCGAATACCATACGTATTGGTTAATATATGAAGACTTACTCATTTTCAAGAGGTATTAGATTGGTTCGATGCACAAATGAACATACCGGTCTGTTGTGTGAACCGAAGGTCATGAACGCATCACATGTGACATCATAGATCCATGACTCGAGATGCACCATTGTCTCGCGCAGGATTAGGGTGTAAAGTTTGGAAATCACGTTCAGCACATCGTGATAAGAATAAAGACACTCTGTGGTAACACTTAACTGATTGTTAGTTTTGTCATTAAGTCGTATACATTGGAAACATCTCTTCTTAATGTACATACTTCTCTATATGTTTCTAAGCTTCGCTTTCTTTTGGCGGTGAGTATATATGCTGAAACATAACTGGAACAAAAAAAATGTGATAAATGAAAATATTAAAGATTCTGTAACGGCCCATAACTTACGGGAACTCGGTATAAGCGATTCAGTGATGCCTACGACTGGGCCATTAGACGTCTGAGTTAGTTTTTAAGCCATAGTCATCATCAACGACCTTTTCTCCCACCTGTCCTCCCACAGTATATCCACACGCAGTGATCTTAGAGCCATAAGGGCCAATGTCACGTGGAGTCTGTTTTGAGAAAAGTGATGAAAACACATAATATTATGCATGATAATGAACTTTTTTATACCGATACATTCCTAGACATTAAAGCATTCTGACAGCAGAGGTATAAATGTTCTAACATACAAAAAAGGAAATAAACTTACGTTTTTAATTTGTGTAAGTGTGGAAAGGGCCAATGTCTGTATTTTGGCCCTTTTTTACCCTCAGGCATTTATATGGATTTAACATGTGAGATTGATAAACTACTACTGATAGTACAAACACATACTATTGAAATACTTTTAAATGATTTAAACTAATGCCAACTTTGTTGAAATAGTTGAAATATAATAATAAGGTGTCCGAACTCAACCAAACACGGAAATAAGGACTAAAAGGGCCACAATCTAGCAAAGTGACTTTGGCCCTTTTGGAACTTGCTTTGGCACTTTAATAGAATTTTAAGTAGCTATATTTAAAAAACGCATCAATGAAAATATACAATATTTTTTCTACAGTTAGACAAGAACTCATATATGCAATAATTAGCAAAAAAGGCCACAGTGCATTTTGGCCCCTTTTAGCTCTAAGCTCTTCTCTTTACAGCAACTGCAATACTCCCAAACCAAATTCTCACACTCATCCCTACACTGAACAAATTTGTCTTGTCATTGTCAGTGAAGGCGCCTCGCCACGTGCCTACAAACTGACGTCATGCGTTTGATTAGTGCACGTGTCACGTTGTACCACTACCAGATATGAGACCCGCGTGGAGAAAAGGTACCCTATGGGTGCCAGGATACAATTCTGCTCTGACGTCATAAAGAAAGATGTTTGACGTCAACTTCCTTCCGTAAAAATCGCCATGTGTGCGGACTGTAAAAAAATATCGCATTTTTCTCTCGTTAGTTCGTAATGTCATAAAAACACTATTTCAATGCATTTCAATATACATCTCTACTTTTAATTAATCAGAAATTATATCTAAAAACTGCACATATTACATAAACGGTCTTAAATCTGAAAGTGGGACTTGCAGAAAATGAGTCCAAATGTCTGTTGTCAACGTCTTCCGTAAAAATCGCCATGTATGAGGACTGCAAAAAATATCTTACTTCTTTCTTGTTAGTTCGCAGTGTCATAAAAGCATTATTTTAAATAAAATCAGCATACATGACGTCTACTTTCGATTAATCAGTCATTATATCTAAATTATTACAACAGCTATTACTTCAAGATTGAAAATGGGATTTTGCAGAAAATAAGTCCAGATGTTTCATACCATGTATCTGCATTGCGTGTGAAGTGATGGTTGTGAATTGTATTTTTATGTTCCTAAGATACTGTAGTTTTAAAATTTTATAAGAAATCAAAATGTGATTTTTCACCCAGAAGGTCCCTTGGTGGGTCACATATATGATTTTGATTATAACAGTATAAGCAACTAAGGCAAGATGATGCAAATGTTTCATGAATTACACCAATATCAGTTTCTGTTTGTGTACGTCAGATTCGACGTTTCTGATGACGTCATATGGTGTGTACTGCGTGAGTACGAGGAGCACGCCAAGTTTCGCTAAATACAATGTTTTCCTGAGACAGGATACTAGCATTTACCTTCCCAAATCACATTCGCGTGACAAACTGTATTTATTATCGTTATCGTTATTATTCCGCTGAGCTGACAAGTCTTATTATTGTACAAAGAAGAATTTTTAGTCGAATGCTGTCAGGACGCCCCCGGAATGACGCCGGCAAATTCAAATGTCGCAAAATGGCCTTATTATTTGGCTAAACATTATTTTAAGGTAAAACAATATTTCACTGCGTCATTCCATGCCTGATTCAGATGTAAAGGGGGCACGGTCGGCCCAGTCGTCTAAGGCGCTGCGATTCGCTGTGCAGAGTTGCGTCCCTTGGGCATGCCAGAAACCTATGATTGTGAGTTCAAATCCCGGTTCGCCCCGATTCTGTTTCTAGGTTTGTCAGCACCATACTCGTGCTCGTGGGTTTCACCGAAGTGCTAAACGTCTGAGACCTGCATCACTTCGGGCTTTCCTCCCACATTAAACTGACACGCCGTGATATAACTGGAATACTGTTAAAAGCGGCGTTAAACCACTCACTCACTCACTCAGGTGTAATGAATGATGCATACATTCTTGTTAATTATTTGATATGTCAACGTCCAAATTAAAATTGAAAGTTAACCCACAAATCTATACTCAAAGGAATTCAATGCCCGCAGTCCTTCAGTGCAATCCAGTCAATAGTCAATCGTGTGGTTTACATCACTCATTTATGCCTTTATATTGGCCTTTCCTCCTTGCAACCATTTCCATGCATATATTATTCATACATGTTGGTCAGTACGCTGTGGGGGTGAAGCTCCAGGCAGTCCCACGACACCACTGACACGAACGAATACATTTAGCGTCATGTAACAGTCTCTAACGGCATCATGTCAACTGCGACGGCACGACCTACACTTGTTGAAGGAATGGGTGTGGGTTTCGAATATTCTTGAATTCTTGACGCATGTGCTGCCATCGAACTCATCTACTTAGTCAAATTTACCCTGTAACATGAAGATCAGATAACGGCACTTTGAAGAACTTTTTAGTTACATCAAGGCGTGTTAGCTACCTGCAGGTCTTTGGCGATTATCATTTTGGTGAAAGCCACGGGCTGGGTTGGTACTGACAAACCACTGAATCTGGTTTATTATCAATGCGAGTCTTGGACATGAACCAACAATCATATGATTCTGGCAAGCCCACACTGCGCATCATTTGCTACACGTTGAATACCCGTGCCCCTGACAGATGAAGTAGCTGAGTATAGTTTTATGCCGCTTCCAGAAATATTTTACCATGATCACGGCGCGGGACACCGTAATGGGAAACGAACCCGGTCTTCGGCGTATCAAGCGAAGGCTTTAATCACAAGGCTACCCAAACGCCAACTAAAAGAGCACTCGAACAGATAAATTGATAATAACGTCTATGTAATTGATCTCTTCAAGTGTTCAGATCCCTGAGTGACATCTCTAGCATGTGGTGTAGCCTTATCTTAACTGTCTGTCTGTCGTAAACTTAATGTATATCTCAAGAACGATGACTTGATGTCATCTAACGTCATTCACGGGGGCATTAGACTGCCAGTAAAGTCACGTTGGGTGCATACATTAAACTGATTTATGTCAGTAACCTTTGAATTAACAAACGACTTAACATCACTTATTACGACATGACAGTGCAGAAGTGTAAATACTTCATGCAACTCATTGACGGTCTTGAACAGATGAGTCAGTTGATGTCTGGTGTCTTGTGTCTTGTGTCTGGTGTCTGGTGTCTGGTAGGGTATGTGATATCAGTTTGTTGAAAGCAAGCTCTAGGTACATAATATTATATTCCCAAGTAAATCTTTGATAGTGCACTGACGGCGCTCACAGTCAATATCTGCAATAACAGATATTGATATCGGAAACCCATTGATGATGAGTAAGAGAGTGTGTTGTCTTAACGCCCCTTCACAGTACCCCAGTCAATATGGTATCAGCTAAATATGATTCAAAGGCACGATATGACAGCCAAAAACATGAACGAAAACGGATCTCAGAACGTACAGAGCCCCCCCCCCCCCCCCCCCCCCCCCTCCCACAACGCTTGATGTTCTATACACCGGTATCCTGTATTAACCTTTTCAAACAGTAATGGCACTGTGTCTTAACTATGTATCATAAAATAATAAAAAAATGTAGGTTTTCTTAATCAGATTGTATCCACGCTATCCAGGAATGAACGGCGCTGCATAACTTGAGGTCTGCTTCTAACATTTACCCAAGGAGTGTTCTCGTTGCAATTTGACGTGACGCTGATCGGGGTAAATGTATTTATTAAGCAGATACGTCAGAGCGCCATGTAAATACAAGGAGGGGATTTAAACACAAGACGTTGTGACACTGCAGCAAATCCAAGATGGCCCTCACTGGACTGGCCGTCGTTCTCCTCTGTCTGCCCATTGTCACGGGACAGTACGGTTTCCTGCCAGACTTTTACGGTGCGTACTATTCAGTATATACTCTTAACATAGAACTCTTTCGGAAAAAGAAGAAAAACGATTAATTCAGCCAAAATATCTCACAAATTAAATTGAGCTAGAACTAAATGCTAATGATTATAATGACGTGTGGTCACTGGCTGACAAGTGTGTTGTTTTGGACACTATTTGGAAAGATCAGTGAATACTATGTTTATTCGATTGCAGTACATGTTGATGTTGGTGATATGATCTGATATGAAGTCCGGATGAGGTTTAAGGCCTTCGACTTCCAATTAATCGGCAGTTGTTGCCTGATTTCAAAATCGTCATATTTTCAAGAGAGTCACTGTGTTAAACCCCATATGACTAACTCCCACACTCCACACTGATACAAGCCTGGGATAGAATCTAGACAAGAATAGTTTCACCAAAACAAAATTTACATTCTAATTTTAGATTCAAGATTCTATTAATTATCTCTTCGTTCAATCATTTATTCCCAATAGAGCAGTCAAGACTTTCCTTCACATCCGGTGATGACGTCACACTCACGTGCCCGGTTACTCTACATCCGGGCGAGCAGTATGACAGAGTGAAGTGGACGTTCCTGTCCTGTGGACGCTACTACTTCAAGATCCCCTGCTATGAGCAATCCGTGTGGTCAAGAGAACAAGGGCTTGAGAGAAAAGAAGGCCCAGTGATTCCCCAGATTCCTGAAGACAGTTCTGTGAAGGCTACTGCTACAGTCAAGAACATCACAAATGGTCTTTCTGGATATTACCTCTGTCAAGTTATTGGTACAGGAAGCACAGATCAGTCCCACGTCTTCGACGTGTACGTTCTTAAAAGTAAGTGTTCTCATCATCCTCGGCACACAAGGGAATATTTCCACTTCACGTGTCACTTTTAGATGACATTGGCTATTGAAGCAAGCTATAATATAACGTGTACGTTTTTAAAAGTAAGTGTTTTTATATTGACAAATATTGTAAAAAAATGTTTAGAATGAAAACACATAAAATACATCTTTAGGAATGTGTTTAAGTCCTGAATGGAATACACATTTGGTGTGTCCTATCTAATCACGTTTAGGGTCTAAACACACGAAATGATATTTCGTCTCACAGCCTGAACATCACTTCAGCACAACATCTCAATAATCTAAACATGTTTGGATTGTAAGCATTTTTCCTTACTAAAAATGTTTAGAATTTAAACATGTTGTGTCTGAACGTCTTTAGTATTTATACACGTGTAAATATAGTGCATAATATTGGGCATTAAGATACGGGTTTTTCCCATATTTTGACCTTACACATGTTCAGCTTCTAACTCAGCGCGTCCAAAGTATGTGACAAGATATGTGTTTAGGTTTGTGATTAAGGATCTCAGCACATTTTTTACATTGCACAGGGTAATATTTACACTACCTTTTTAAACTTTTCAAGCAAGCTAAAATATAACACCAATGCGAACAAAATCACATTTATTCTCATAATGACAACGTTTCTCAATGAAGATGATTTTTCACAACTGCTTCTAAGACACTGTTTTTTGTTAGATATTTTTACGAAATGTTCCTTGATACTTTTAAACTGAACATATCCATGTTGATAAAGTATTGACGTCGTAAATCAGTGCTGTAAGTATTAATTTTTCTTTCCACAAAGCATTTTTATATTTATATATGTATCCTAAATTTATGTTTAAAACGAGTATGGCTACGACAGTCGTAGTGATCAATCCGCTTCTTGTAACAGGACCCTGGCCATAGTAAAAAAATAATTTCCTCATCGCTGGAGTTTTTGAGTAAGTGAGTTAACACTTAATATGCCTCGACGATGTTTCAGCTGTACATGGAATAAATAACAAGTCATAAGGAAGAACATTCTTAAACACCTGGTGTCTTCTGGTTTTCTGATTCGGCAGATAATCGAGACTGGTTTTTCTCTGGCGTTTACGCTATGGAGAAAGCGCTGAAACTACTGTACTGCACCGTCCACTGTATATTGTTTCAGTCTTCCTAATGTGTGGATAATGTGTCGTCTTATTAACTAATAAACCGCTTTGGGTTTTCTAACAGATGCATCGGCTGTTCAAACACTGAAACCAGATCCTATACTGGTCGTCAAGGGTGCGACAGGATCTGTACAAGTCACATGCACGGACGAGGCCTATGTTCCTGGAAGCATCATGAGAATTTATCACGGAAGTTGGTCTTTCAGAGTAGCATTCTTCGATCTTCCAACAGTTTGCACCATCACCTATGACCCCGAGACCTCTTCTGAAATTGCATCTTGCCAAGCGGACATTGCAGTATCCATCTTGACTGGAAAGTTTACATTGCAAAACTCAGTCAATTGTGACGTCATCCGCCCCGGAGGCAAACGGATATCTCTCCTAAGACGCGCGAGGATTGTGGACCTCGGTCTGCTTGATAACTGACATGTTTCAATATAAATGCATTATTAAAAAACATTGCAGAATAATTTGTGATTTTGTTTCCCCTTTCTGATCGATCAACAGCAAATTGCTGATTTGGCGTCAAGGGATATCAACCAAGTGGCTAAATTACCACTTTCATGCTTGTGATGACTTTTTCATCAAACTTCAATCTGAAATCGAAGCCATGGTTAAGTCATTTGGCGTCCTACCATCATACCATAAGACATGATGAAATTTAAAATCAATGCAAAACCAAGTCTTACAAAACAATGATTGCGGAACAAAACAAACATGAAACAAACCACGTCCGTGATGCAAAAAATACTGCATATTATGAATATTGCAGGTCAAAGGAAAGCAGTGTGCAAGATTTACTGAGGCCTATATGAATTTGACTATTTCTTATGCATTGGTTCAAATCGTTATGCAATCTCTGGTTCACTTTCCCGAATTATATATATTCGAGACATTATGACCCAACATATTGTAAAATATTGATCAAAATACCGTTTGACCCTTCAGTTACCTTGATCAATTTTTAATACAAATAAGCATTCAGAGATATTTGCCAAATCTTGCTCACTCTGACAATATAAAGTTCGTGCTTTCATTTTGAAGTGGCTTTTGTGTGTATGATGGATCCGATCTTTTGTCTTCCTCTGTCCAGGTTAGTAGGACTTGCATCAGTTTCACAAACCATGCACAACCACATAGGGGTGATTTGTTATGAGGTGAAATTAAAGGTAAATACACCAATATCTGGCAATGAAAGTAAGTGATTTATGTGGCAATGACGCCCTCGGAATGACGCCGGCAAATTCAAATGTCGCAACATGGCCTAATTATTTGGCTAAACATTTTTTTATGGTTCAGAAAACAATATTTCATTTCGTCATTCCATGCCTGATTCAGATGTAAAGGGGGCACGGGCAGCCCAATCGTCTAAGGCGCCGCGATTCGCTGTGCAGAGTTGCGTCCCTTGGGCACGCCAGAAACCTATGATTGTGGGTTCGAATCCCGGTTCGTCCCGATTATGATTCGAGGTTTGTCAGCACCATACTCGTGCTCGTGGGTTTCACCGAAGTGCTAAACGTCTGAGACCTGCATCACTTCGGGCTTTCCTCCCACATTAAGCTGACACGCCGCGATATAACTGGACTACTGTTAAAAGCGACGTTAAACCCAACTCACTCACACACTCAGGTGTAATGAATTATGCATACAGTCTTGTTAATTATTTGACATGTCAACGTCGAAATTATAATTGAAAGTTAACCCACAAATCTATACTCAAAGGAATTCAATGCCCGCAGTCCTTCAGTGCAATCCAGTCAATAGTCAATCGTGTGGTTTACATCACTCATTTATGCCTTTATATTGGCCTTTCCTCCTTGCAACCATTTCCATGCATATATTATTCATACATGTTGGTCAGTACGCTCTGGGGGTGAAGCTCCAGGCAGTCCCACGATACCACTGACACGAACGAATACATTTAGCGTCATGTAACTGTCTGTAACGGCATCATGTCAACTGCGACGGCACGACCTACACTTGTTCAGGGAATTGGTGTGGGTTTCGAATATTCTTGAATTCTTGACGCATGTGATGCCATCGAACTCATCTACTTAGTCAAATTTACCACATAACATGAAGATCAGATAACGCCACTTTGAAGAACTTTTTAGTTACATCAAGTCGTGTCAGCTTCATCTGGGGAAACCTGCAGGTCTTTGGCGATTATCATTTTGGTGAAAGCCTCGGGCTGGGTGGGCACTGACAAACCACTGAATCTGGTTTATTATAAATGCGAGTCTGAGACATGAACCAACAATCATATGATTCTGGCAAGCACACAGTGCGCATCATTTGCTACACGTTGAATACCCGTGCCCCCGACAGATGAAGTAGCTGAGTATAGTTTTATGCCGCTTTCAATATTCTAACACCATCCCGGCGCGGGACACCGTAATGGGCTTCACGCATTGAACCCATGTGGGGAATCGAACCCGGTCTTCGGTGTAAACAAGGCTTTAACCACAAGGCTACCCGAACACCAGCTAAAAGAGAGCTCGAACAGTTATCTTAATAATAACGTCTATGTAATTGTTTTCTTCACGTGTCCAAGTCCCTGAGTGACATCTCTAGCATGTGGTGTAGCCTTATCTTTACCGTTGTAAAATTACTATATATCCCAAGAAAGATGGCTTGACGTCATCTAACGTCATTCATGGGGGCATTATACTGCTAATAAAGTCACATTAGTTGCATACATTGATTTGATTTATGTCAGTAACCTTTCATTTAACACTCGTAACATCACTTATTACGACATGACATTGTAGATGTATCCGGACTTCTGTTAATACCCATCATGCACCTCATTCACGGTCTTGAACAGATGACTCAGTTGATGTCTGGTGTCTGGTGTCTTGTGTCTGGTGTCTGGTGTCTGGAAGGGTATGTGATATCAGTTTGTTGAAAGCAAGCTCTAGGTACATATGTTCCCAAGGAAATCTTTGATAGTGCACTGACGGCACTCACCGTCAATATCTACAAGAACAGATATTAATATCGGAAACCCACTGCTGATGAGAAAGAGAGTGTGTTGTCTGAGAAGAATTGGTCCCCCCCCCCCCCCCCCCCCCCCCCCCCAAAAAAAAAGCTTGATGATCTAACGCCGGTATATCGTGTATGATAAGGTAAGATAAGATAATATTTATTGCAGAAACGTTCCATCACGGGACAGATGCAATTTTAAAACAGACATACATAATTTACATTCCTGTAAACACATACCAAAACAAAAAATTCATATTACATTTTTGATGATATTATAATGCTTAAAATGTCAACGATAGATTATGAAGGGGTATTTATTGTTTGAAATGATAGATCTGGAAACAAATGCAGTTGATATTGACTGCTTCATTATTTGACAGGATGTAGTGAAATAATTTGTCTTCATGACTGTGGACATTTACATTTACATTTTGTCTGGGAGTAGATTTCTTACTTGAGTGTGTTAAATACAGTGAAGTAAGTAGTGTTTTTCGTCATCAATGGTTGAACATGTAGAGCATAGCCTCTGATGTAGTGGGGTTGGTGTATTAACCTTTTCAAACAGTAATGGCAGTGCTTACCGAAGGAATGAACGGCGCTGAATAACTTGAGGTCTACTTCTATTCCTTTAACACGTCTGAAGATTTACCAAAGGAGTGTCATAGTTACTTGCAATTTGACGTGACGCTGATCAGGGTAAATATATTTGTTTAGAAGATAGGTCAGGGCGCCATGTAAATACAAGGAGGGGATTTAAACACAAGACGGAGGGACACTGCAGCATTATCCAAGATGACCCTCACTGGACTGGCCGTCGTTCTCCTGTGTCTGCCCATGGTCACGGAACAGTTGAGTTTCCTGCCAGACTTTTACGGTGCGTACTATTCAGTATATACTCTTAACATAGAACTCTTTCGAAAAAAGAAGAAAAACGATTAATTCAGCCAAAATATCTCACAAATTAAATTGAGCTAGAACTAAAAAAATTATTGCTAATGATTATAATGACGTGTGGTCACTGGCTGACAAGTGTGTTGTTTTGGGCACTATTTGGAAAGATCATTGAATACTATGTTTATTCGATTGCAGTACATGTTGTTGTTGGTGATATGATCTGATATGAAGTCCGAATGAGGTTTAAGGCCTTCGACTTCCAATTAATCTGCAGTTGTTGCCTGAATTCATCTCGTCATATTGTTTAAGAGAGTCACTGTGTTAAACCCCATATGACTAACTCCCTCACTCTACACTGATACAAGCCTGGGATAGAATCTAGACAAGAATAGTTTCACCAAAACAAAATTTACATTCTAATTTTAGATTCCAAATTCTATTAATTATCTCTTCGTTCAATCATTTATTCCCAATAGAACAGTCAAGACTTTCCTTCACATCCGGTGATGACGTCACACTCACGTGCCCGGTTACTCTACATCCGGGCGAGCAGTATGACAGAGTGGAGTGGACATTCCTGTCCTGTGGGCGCTACTTCTTCACGATCCCCTGCTATGAGCAATCCGTGTGGTCAAGAGAACAAGGGCTTGGGAGACAAGATGGTCCAGTGGTTCCTCAGATTCCTGAAGACAGTTCTGTGAAGGCTACTGCTACAGTCAAGAACATCACAAATGGTCTTTCTGGATATTACCTCTGTCATGTTATTGGTACAGGAAGCACAGATCAGACCCATCTCCTCGACGTGTACGTTCTTAAAAGTAAGTGTTCTCATCATCCTCGGCACACAAGGGAATATTTCCACTTCACTTGTCTCTTTTAGATGACATTGGCTATTGAAGCAAGCTATAATATAACGTGCACGTTCTTAAACGTAAGTGTTCTCATATTGACAAATATTGTAAAAAATGTTTAGAATGAAAACACATAAAGTACATGTTTATATCTAAACATGTTTATGAATGTGTTTAAGTCCTGAACGGTATACACATTTGGTGTGTCCTATCTAATCACGTTTAGGGTCTAAACACATGAAATGATATCTCGTCTCACAGCCTGAACATCACTTCAGTACAACATCCCAATAATCTAAACATGTTTAGATTCAATTTGTAAACATGTTTCATTACTAAATATGTTTAGAATTTAAACATGTTAAGTGTCTGAACGTGTTTAGTATTTATACACGTGTAAATATAGTGCAGAATATTGGGCATTAAGATACGGGTCTTTCCAATATTTTGACCTTACACATGTTCAGCTTCTAACTCAGCGCGTCCAAAGTATGTGACAAGATATGTGTTAGGTTTGTGTTTAGGATCTCAGCACATTTTTTACATTGCACAGGGTAATATTTACACTTCCCTTTTAAACTTTTCAAGCAAGCTAAAATATAACACCAATGCGACCAAAATCACATTTATTCTCATAATGACAACGTTTCTCAATGAAGATCATTTTTCACAACTGCTTCTAAGACACTGTTTATTGTTAGATATTTTTACGAAATGTTCGTTGATACTTTTAAACT